CTATATTTATTTTGATTTTTATACTACAATTTTTTTCTTAATAATTTTTTTTATAAATTTTTAGATAAAATAAAAAAAAAGAATGACATCAAGATCTTCTAGTAATGTTTCAACATTAAAACGAAAAGTACAAGTTGTACAACAACCACCACCATCATCATCATCATCATCATCTTCTTCTACACCAGCAAAACATATTAAAAAAGAATCAAACGTAGAAAAACTTAAGGTTTATATTTACTATAGACGAAATTAAAATTCTAATTTAATCTATAGAAAAATTTTAAATCCTCCTAAACAACAATAAATACTCTGATTTTTCTTAGGAAAAACTCAAAATAAATAATGACATGATATCGTACTCTATTTTTTAAAAAACTACTTGGAACTTAGTCTTTTTTAAAGATTTATCCAAAAAAACGTTAAATTTATCCTTTAATGATATATAACATATTCGAAATGGTGACAGAAAAGTCAAATTTCGTTTAAACTAACGGGGGAAGGTGTCGTGATGATTAATAGCTTTTGAGCTCATATTTTGCGCAGTAGTAGGAGACCTATAGGTTAGAAAAAGTCTCAAAAGGTTCATGTTGACGTTACGATTTGACCGATACATTGACTTTTTAATGAATTTTCTCTGCAGGGACCGAATTTTTCGATAAAATCCTATTGTCGAGTTCTAGCATGAAAAATATGCCTAGATGAAAATCTCAATGAGACTAACTTATGCACAAAATTTCAAAAATTTTCGATCGAGTACCTCTGAGATATGCAATTCCATGGAAAACTGCTTGAAGCCTAAAAGCTGCATATCTCAGAGATACTCTATCAAAAACTTCTGAAATTTTGTGCATAAGCTAGTCTCATTAAGACCTTCATCTGGACAAAGTTTTCAGGGTAAAATTCGACAATAAGATTTTATCAAAAAATTGATTCCATACAGGGAAATTCCACTAAAAAGTCAATATATTGGTTAAATCTTAACGTCAACACGAATCCTTTGGAGGTTATACTAGTCTATCAATCCCGTACGATTGGACATAATATAGGCTGAAAAGCTTTTAATCGTCTAGAGAAATTCTTTTGTAAGTCGCTCGCTCTCAATACCCATATGTTATTGTCTTTACTCTTATTCTTTCCAGTTTACGTTAAAATGAACACGAAAATTTATCAGAAAACCAAAAACAGAATTCTGGAGAAAAACAGATCTCAGAAATTGTTCGTACAAATTAATAGCTATTAAATATTGCATGTAATATCATCCAAAAAAGAACAAAACTTCTTGTACACATATTCAATGAGATTAAAAGACTTCAAAAGTCTAACATTTATTTCATTCTGAATTGACTTTATTCTTTATCAAGATTATAAATTTTTGAAAAGATAGTATAATACTTTTTAAACTAATACAAAATACATGTCAATAGAAAAAAAACAAGGTGTATTTAATTGTTATTTAGGGAAATTTAAAAATTGTTTTTTTTTTTGAATTTGAATTTTCTTTATAAAATATTTTTTTCAATTTTATTTTTAGTCTCAACGTCAACATGATCTATCAGAAGATGATATAATACGTTCACGTCTTCTTTATGAAGGTGATCAAGGTATTGATGATCGACGTATGTTAACATTAATGAAAACATTTAATAAATTTATATATGATTTATCATCAAATTCGGATGAAAATAATTCAACAATAGAAAAATTATTTTCTTTACTTTATTCCATTGAACATTCAAATCATCTTTTAAAATCAACATATCAAATGGATGAACTTGAACAAATATGTTATGCTTCTAAAACTCAACGTTTAAATGAACAAATAAAACAATTACGTCATGAACTTGATCAAAGTGAATTACGTTTAATTGAAGCTAAACAAAAACGTTCAAATTTACTTGAATATGATGCACGTGCAGCTATGATTAATAAATTAGGTACACGTCGAGAACTACGTGCGCAACAATCAGCTACATTAGAAAGAAAACATTATTTTGAACATCTTCAACAAACATTTGAAGCAACGTACGATATTTTAAAATTTTATTTCTATCTATTGAATTCCATCTTTTCGCTATGAAATCAAAAACATAACTAAAAAAAAAAGAAGGTTCAAACTAACTAAACAAAAAGCTTAACTTCAATGCTTCATGCAAAAATTTGAAGAATGTTCGAGTATGAATGAAGTTTGTGTGAAGTTCATTGAGTGTATATAAACAGAACCCGTAAACACTCTTTTAAAAGAAGAAACAAGCATTAACTTTTACTATATATAGTTGCTACGTTTTTGAAAAGTAAAATATGACTACATCCAGAGTAAAACTATGAAAAAAATATAATAAGACGTAAGCAAAAACAATCAAACTACTAACAACAAAATGCTTGCGAATCATATTTTTAAAATATTCGAAAACGTCAACTATCGCTCAGCAGCAGTCAGAAATAACCGAAATTTTTGAATATTTCGGTCTTAACATCATGATTTATTGAGTAAATTTAAATATTTTTTTACTAAAATGATCAGCGCAACGAGTTCTACAGACGAAAAAGCCTTCTGAAAACTTTGTATTTTTTTTCAGTTGTCTAGTCATAGACGTATTCATCAAAAATACGACTCACAAGCATTTGGTCGTTGGTGGAAAGTATGAATATAGGAAAGCAAGCTTCATACAGTTCTTCTTTAATCAAAAACTGATATTATGTATTTTTGATTCACATTTATGTGATCTTCAAGGACATAACAATTAGAGGCCGAAACGGGGCAACGTTAATTAAGATGTTGTATATACTCAATAGTATGCAGTTCAGCTACTGTCGAAAGAAAGTTTTTGGCAACACAGTCAGTTGTGAACCAAAGAAGATCCAATTTAGTTCCAACAACTGTTAATAATGTTTTTATTTTTGTTCGTTCGATAGAGAATAACACAGTAAAAGATCGATTGATCTCGAGTTATATCATTTTTATGTTCTTGTGTCTATTTTTTGCAATATACAGTTAAATAGATCATATGATCAAAACATACAAACATTTATATAATGATGTGACGAGACAGTGAAGAAAAAAATTAAGGTCAGAGCAAGGCGGAGAACAAAATATTTTTCCCATTTCGGCCTTTGATAATAATATCTCAAAATTCGTAGAAATTTTTTGAGTAAAATAAGTTTCTCTGATGATTAATATGAATCGTTGATTTTTATTTATAGTTACCAACAACGATTAAAACAAATAGCTGTTTATATGCGTCCAATATTTGAACTAGATGAAATTTTACGACAAGATGCTCATGAAGATAGTCCAGCAGATGGACCAAATGAATCACCTGTTGAACAACAATCATCATCATCGATTTCTACTTTACCAATTACAAAACATGAACGACAACGAACTAATTCTGATTCTTCGACAGCTTCAATTGAGGGCGATGATACAAATTCAACAACAACACGTTCCAAACGACAACATAAAAATCATTTAGGATTAATATCATTATCAGCATCATTAGCAAATAATCAACCACAAGCATTATTTTCAAATGAAACAGAATTATTTGGTACACAACTTAATAATCCATTATTATTATTATTATCTTCTTCCAATATTTCTTAATTTCTATGTATAATTTTTTTTTTCTTTTCTTCAACATAAAAAAAATGCTGACGTTAATCTCATGTTTTTCTTTCCAACAATTAATAATTGTTTTGTTTTTTTGATTATGGTTATTTCTATATTCTCAGATGTTTAATCATCAGTTCGAGCACGGAATTCAATGGAAAAAAAGATATTTTTTTTTAAAATTTATAATCAGTATGTGAAGAAGAAAGTTCAGTTGTTTTCTATATAAAAAAAAAACTGCAAACTCTAGATAATATTAAATTTGATTAAATATGTTCCAGATTAATTGATCTCAGTAGAGATAATAATGTTTGATAAAGATAGTATATAAGAAGTGCTAAACGACATAACTTGTATGAAATTCAATAGTATTATGTGTTGGTGTTGTTATTTTTTATTTAGATCTAAGATTCAATGTGGCATTTATGTCATTTATCATCTCGGTCGTTGATTCGCGTATGTCCTGTATTAATTCGACAGCGACCACTTATTCCAATACAACCTTCAACTTCTCAACGACTTTTTTCTTTTCCATCTTTTTTTAAAATAAAAAAACATTTACCTGAACCTCTTCCACAACCACCATTTAATCCACGTCACCCACCTGATTATATTCCATTACGACCACCTATTGATCCAAATGCAACAAAACCTGTTCAATCTCAGTCCAGTATATTTGCTCGTTTTCATCAAGCATATGCTAAATATGGAAAAATTCTGTTAGGTGTTCATTTTGTTTCATCATTTGCTTGGTTTAGTGGTCTACTTTTACTTCATTTCAATGGTTTTGATCTTGGTATGAAATAAAATAGAAAATATTTCATTATATTATTGTTAAATTTTTATAGGAATGTATGTTATGGACGTTCTTGTAAAAATACATGTAATTAGTCCAGAACGACGTTTATCATTTATACGTCATATGAATGAATTTTCAATTGCAGGAGTATTATCAAGAATTCCATTTGTTTCAGAAGAACGTCTTAATAAATGGAAAGCATATTGGACTGGTGAACGTCTTCGTTTACTAGCTACAGTTTTATTACTTTATAAATTTTTATCACCCCTTCGTTATGCTTTTACATTAGGTGCAACAACATATATATCACGTATATTTCTTAAACGTGGTTTTATTAAACGAGCACCACAAGGTGATTCATTACAAGAACTTTATCTTGATCAAAAACTATTAATTAAAAGTCATGTTAGACGAGCAAGAGAAAAAATAAAAAAATCTGCACGACGTGGAACACATCAATCCGAATGAATCAACTTCACTTATTGTTATAATTTACAATTTATGGCTTTTTCTTTTTCTGTTTAAACTTATTCACTAATTCAGCTCTTTATGAATATATAAATGGAAATAGCAGAAGCAAATGTTTGTTTTGTTTGATTTAAATTTAGACTCGCTTATAAATGGTAATTCTATGTATGTCATCATTTATTAATTTGTATTGTTTTTAAAACGAGAAAAATCGAATAGTTAACAGGTTTTGTTGTACATCTAATAGCTTTTTTTTTCATACAAATAAAGTGATAAGTACTGAAATTAATTACGAGGTAATATTATGAGTATATGTTACATGTATCTAGTTCATTTAAACATTATTCATTCATTTGTCTAGAATGAATGCAAGAAATAGAGATAATGACAAAGATGAAAACATGTTCACAAGAACGACAAACCACATTGAAGAATTTCTTTGAAAACAAAAACACATGCAACTGTTTTAGACGATTTCATAATAATTTTCAACATGATTCGACGATTCTAATAAAGAATTCAATGAACCAACTTTTAAAATATATTGTCTAATAGTTAGGCATCACCAATTGTCATAATATTTCAAGTTTATAATCTTCTTTATTGAAGGTCCTACAGAAATGAGAATTATATGAGACAAACATTAAAATGTGATTGGAAACCTTAAGATGAACAAACTTACATATTGATCAATAAGCTACGAAGTTTTTATCTATTAGTTTATTTGCCAGAAGAGCGAGTGAAATTGAATAATATTTTTAGCTAAATAGTAGTTTTGTTTTAACTAACTTGTTATCATTACATTTTAAAAACAGTGACAATTTCTTGTTGTTTAGATGAATCAAGTTAATAGAGCAGTAATGGTACAGTTAGTTGATTTATTTTGTTTTTTTTTAATGAAGAAAAATTTTTGTCAAAAATTTATCCAAACTTCTGTTAAATCTGTTTGAAGTGGTTCTTTTTAATTTTGTAAAATAAATATAATACAACGCTACTGAAAGATTAATTAGACAAAACGAAATATTCTAATAAGAAATGAAATCAATAATTTGTCGGACAATCAGTTTGTTTTTTGAAATTGTTATTGCTATAGAAAATGTATTTTATGAATAATGTTTCTTGTTAATATATGATTAATGAATACAAATATAGGAATTGAATGTAAATTACTTTATGTTATTAATCTAAATATACTCATCAATATGGAAGAAATAAAATCAGCAAATATAAATTTATAAATACTAGAGCCTGTCGAGCTCCAAATTTTTGAACTCCAACCATTCTGTTAATTTCAATGAAATTTTTTAGTCTGAATTGGATGTCACTTCACAGATGCAAAATACTTTCTCTCGATTATTTCTATTCTTCCAAAAGCTAAATTGTATATCTAGTAAATATAATAGAATAATCATATTGATAAATGATGTAAATTTATTAGAAAGAAAAATAAACACCGAAACAAAAATTTCAAAAGTGTTATTAATGGAGTTTAGGCATAATCCTTCGCCAATACTATATTGACGATCTGTAGAAATACCTGTCTCTTGTACTTTTACATGATTAATGTGTATTCAAACTATATATTCTTATTTTCGACTTTTTTTTCATCCTGTCAAATTGATGTATTAGACAAGTTTTGAATAAATATTCGGCCTGAAGATAAACAAACTTAATCAATATATGCAATAAGTAAATATATAATGTGAAATCATAAGTAATGTATGATACATATATATTTATAAAGGAAATTTACAGTAAATTGATAAACATATACTTGGAGTTGTTTGTTCGACAACAATAATATCGGATGGGATGGGAAATATTGATGCTATCCTGTTGACTATAGATGATTCTAATAATTAACATGAACATGAGCTTTAATCGAAGTGATCTTTAAAGAAATACAAATCAATTACATAGATTATTAATTCTAACAAATACTAGAAAAATTGTTATAGATGATATCATAGTTTGTTGATTAGAGTGGAGATGATAGCAGTTCCTTTTTTTCTTTTCAACATCGAACTGAGTCTAGTTAAAAACTCGTACAACTTACTATCACTTTGTAAAGATATTAGTCGTAAATTGCCTCAATGATGAAATTTTTTTTACACATGATGACATTACGAATGAATCAGATTGCAGTAGCTATATGTGCTCTGTTTTTGAGGTAGTTAAAAATGATTTTAAAAGTTGACTTTGAGCTTGCGAGATCTTTATCTCACGCGTAATTTATTTCCGTATATATCTCTACATGTCAATTATTGCAACGACTAAACAACTATGTATAGTATATTTTTAAAAAAATTTGGAATTTATAGGATGACAGATTTCACAGATGCTGAACATGAAAGGAAAAATCCATCATATATATATATGACGGGAAAAGAAAAGTCCGACACATAAACCTAATTATAGAGAGAATGAGAACAGAAGAAGCATATCATGACAAAGAAAAATTTCGTGATCACATCCAAATAGATACAGAGCATAACAGAGTTGACTCTATGCAGAAATTTTTGCTTTGAAAATGATTATTTTTTTCTACACCAATTTTTCTTATTTACATAATTTACAACGATTAATAACTCCTCAATTGCTTATCAAAGATCTCGTATTTTTTTTTGCAGATTCTTATTGATTGATGTAGTTTAGTTGTCATCAAGTTCGATGCCATACACTGATCATTTTATATCAATAGCGAGAATTCTCTACTGCAGTTCTATTGAAATTCTAATGCTTTTCTTCCTATGATTTCATCGAAATAGATACGTTATTTTAACATCTGTGAATCTCTTTGTGAATGCCTCATGAAAAATTATCCTATCTAGTTAAATATTATCTCTAAAAGATTTATTGTCATAGTATCGAAAGTAGAAACTACTACTGGATGAATTAGTCTCATGTGTATTGTCAACAATACAAACTACTCAATTAGTTGAACCAAGAGACAGTCGACAAACTAATCTGAGTAAAATGAAATTTTCTATGTTTTCGTAGTTCTCAGTTACATTTATTTTCCAAATATATCTTCTTCAATTCCGAAACATGCGTCGAGAAACAAAAATTTGAGGAAATGTAGTTACATAACTCAAATTTCAGCAGTATTCGCATAACAAATTATTGTTTTCTGTGTCAATATCCATCGTCACAGCTGAGAAGATGTCAACTCTCTAAGTTTTATGCAACCGAGAAAGTTTTGTTGAAGGAGTACAATTAACATTTCTATAGAGTAACATATCCTGCATGAAATCAATAGAAAGTCAGGTTTCATAACTAATTAGTGTTTCACTACTGTGATTTGTTGAACTTATTTTCATGGCTACATTCAAACGTCGTATTAAGACTTCATTACTGTCTGATGATATTTTTCTTATACTGATACATAATTCTACAATGTTGCTAAACGAATCATGGGTGATAGTCAAAGGGGAAACGACGTACGCCTGTGCTTCCTGGACTCCTGGTGTATAGGAGTACGTCATTTCCTATTTGATTGTCACGCACGATTCGTTTGGCAACATTGTAGAATTGTGTATCAGTATAGGAAAAATATCATCGGACAGCAATGAAGTCTTAATATGATGTTTGAATGTAGCCATGAAATTAAGTTCAACAAATCACAGCCGTAAAACACTAATAAAAATATGTCTGTCCTTTTCAATACATGAGATACAAATGACAAAATACATTCGACACGTTTCTTTTTTCTCGTTCGTCTAGACGTTCAATCCTGACATAAATGAAGAAAATAATGCAAGATCTCGTCTGGCGAACATACCCTAGACGCTCTATTTATCGTACATATTAATCCTTTTTAAAAAAAAATTCCACGTTTACTTCACTTTTTTAATAATTATTAAGCGTATTTTATATTACACTCGATGTACTCCAGAAGTGCGAAAGTACATCGATCTCTCGTGAAGCCACATCACTTTCTTGATGAATATGGGAAAAAAACGTATACAAGATTTATTTAAATGCAAATCTTATAGTGGTTGACTATCGTGAAATGAAAGCAACATCAAAGAGATGATCCAAGTTAGTACCATTAAATCGTTCTTTGTCCATGTTTACAGGAGTAATGTTCAACCTGTTAGAAGATTGGATGTAGATATGAAGAAGATCCATCTAAATCATTATTTAATGAGAACAAAAATAGATGCTAGATGATCTGCTAGAAAATAAAATAAATTTTAATCAAGTCTGAGACAAATAAGTACTAATTGATAGTGTCGAATTGTATTCGATGATTCAATTACAGAATCAAAAAGACTATCTTGAGGTATCCCACCAAATATGAAGGCAATTTCTTTTCTTATGAAGTTGTTTTTGATTATCATGAATAAAGTATAGAAATATTTATTTAATAATTAAATTTGAAACTATGAAAAAGCGCCACTTACCTACATTCATTATCATCATCATCTTCTTCTTCTGTACTTGAACATACTTTGCCATCATCAAATCAGATCTTATAGGTTTTTACAGCTGTAACCAATACAAAACTTCTCATTTGACTCACATGACTACAAGACAATGATCAATAAAATCCCAGAAAATGTTGACATTCGAGAATTTACTTGCGAAAATTTCTTCACATCAAGTTCAAATTTCAAATAATTATTCGATTTTGTTTGCGAATTGTTTATGATCAACAGTATTCATGAACACTCACCAAAAATATTATTCTACGTAAAAGTTAATTAAATCAAAGTGTAATACTTAACAATAGAAAGTATTCAAATCTAGCCATTGATTGAATGCATATATTTGGAATTAACTTATTAAAACTAACAAATCATAATACAAGATGAAAAATAGTTTTTCTAAGAGATCATTTATCTTGGAATGTAGGTGTACCAGTGCTGGTATGTTTATTGGACGCATACCAACATGAAGAGTCTGATAGCATGAGCAAACATAAGAGAGATTTATCCAGTCGATCAAGCATTCGTCAACAGGATCATTTTATAGTAGAAATGAAGATATATCTTTTTTATTTTTTACATCAATCTATTCCTCACATCAAACTGGAGTTACAAGTGTTGAAACATGAGGGACTCCGAGAGACCGAAAAAAAAGATCATCTCCATTGTTTCTCTTATATCTTTGTCAATTTTTATCCATTTTGTTTTGACAACATTTCGTTTGAAACAGCACATAAAACTGAACAAAAATGTCACGAATAGGTTTCTGAAAAGGACAAATCGTGATATAAAAAGTTAGCTTTTCGGAAAAACTGTGCTTTTATTAAACTCACTGTTTTCAACCGTAAGCCATTTTACAACATGATAACTAATCGCGATTCTACTTTAATATAGTGCATCTTGTAGAGAAATCTACACTCTATGAAACTATTATAAAGATTTTGAGAAAAGAAGTTTCAGAAAACACTGAGAAAGGCGGCGGTGCATTATTCTCAAGGCATAAATTTGCGTCTTTCTGATTGATATTTAGTAGTCTTTGCTTAGAAAATTGATGATTTGATCAAAATTAATATGGTATTCTGAATCAGTATAAAGAACTGAGACGAATAATGTATGTATAAAGTATCATTGAGACGTTTTTTCTATAGTCGAAAAATTTATCTCTGGTCTTCTTTAAGGTTTAATAAGAAAGTGAATATGAACGAAACATTATTTTGCAAGTAGGAAACAAGTTCTAAGGATTCAAAATAATAGTAAAACACAAAATTGAAGATGGTTAGACAATAAAAAGAGCATTGTGATAAATTTCATTGTCTGATTAAATTCTGAGGGATGTCAGAGGTGAATTTTTTAATCACCAAAAACCATGTCAAATATACTTCAAATACACATTATTCGTCTCAGTTCTGTATACTGATTCAGAATATCATATAAATTTTCATCAAATCGTAATTCTTCTAAGCAAAATCTGCTAAATATCAGTCGGAAAGACACAGACTTATGTCTCAAGAATAATGCGCTACTGCTTTTCTCAACTTTTTCTGAAACTTTTTTTCTCAAAATGTCTACAATCGTTTTGTAGAATGCAACATTTTCTACAAGATGTACTATATTAAAGTAGAGTCGCCATTAGTTATCATATTGCAAAATGGCTTTCGACCGAAAAAAGTCAATTTAGTAAAAGCACAGTTTTTCCGAAAAGCTAATTTTTTGTGTTAAGACCATCTTTTTTTTGAGAAATCTATTCGTGACGTTTTTGTTCAGTTTTATTTGCTGTTTGAAATGAGATGTTGCTCAAAGCAAACTGGATGAAAATTGACGAAGATATAAGAGAAACAATCGAGATGATCTTTTTTTCCATTTCTCGGAGGCTCTCATGTTTCAACACTTATAACTCCAGTTTGATGTGAGGAATCGATTGATGTAAAACAAAAAAAAAGAGTATACCTTCATTTTGATCATAAAATTGGCGTTCATGATAAGCTCATGTGGCTTCTCTTATAAAGTATTTGTTGTGAAACTTCCATATTTCGTTCCATGACTTCTATTGAAATCGATACTATTCGATAGAGAATAAAATTGTGCAGTTAACACGATCAATTTGAGATCCAACACAAGTTGGAGAGCGAATCTAGACAAGGAAAGATCAAATACAGTTCTGGCATTAATTACGTAAACTTTCTATACTTCGTTTCATAAAGTGATAAAAGCTTTGTGAAATTTATTTATTTACTCAAAATAACTTGCTCGTATGTTATATTGGTAGATCGATGATCATTCATCAGGAAATGCATGATTTTGATTATAATAGTGATTATACTTCTTTTACCTCATTATAAATGTTGATCATTCATTAGAAATATGCAAATTACAGACTTTTTCAAAAGATTTAAATAATAATACACCTGATACTGCATCAGTTTCTAATATATCATTCATTGCTCGAATCTATCTTATTGCATTTTTATCGGTCTTATGGTTTTTCATTTACAACAAATTTTTGTTTTTCTTACCGATTTCAAGCTTGATTAAAATTAATTGGATTTACTCGATTTAATATGTGTATAAGGCTGTTTTTTTTTCGAATACTTTCTCAAGATACATATTATATGTAGTAATGATACAAATATATTATCTATCGAAAAATCACTAGTTTTAATTATTTTAAATAGAAAAAAAAAGAAGACATCGATTTTCGTTTCAAATCGCATCTGAATTAATAGACAATTGTCGTCAAAAAAAAAAATAATAATATATTAGGTGGAGAAAATTAATATTGCAAAATAAAGACAGATGATTACGAAAAAACAATGGCATGCAGTGATATTTTATACATTGTTGTCAGTTAATTTAATAACTTTTCTTCTTTTTTTAAATACTCAATGGACGACAATCTTCACATGCACTCATCACAGGTTCATCATATGGTTCAACTTGTATTGTTGTTCGTGCAATAGAATGTTTACAACGGAGCATTTCTTGAGCTTGTCTCAATACCGTCAAAAAATCTCGATTGGAACCTAAAGAAAAACAAAATCTTATACTTAAATCAACAAATGACATTATTCAAATAAGTCATTGAATAGTTTTCATATTTCAAAACAGAATATCAAAGATTACTTACTAACTGCAAGATGAACAGATAGAGCTGTTCTTTGCATCGATAATGACCATATATGCAAACTATGTGCATTTCGTACACCAGGTAATTGAAGAAGATCGTCAACTACTCGTGAATAATTAACACTTGATGGAACAGCTAATATATAATATAATAGAAAACAAAATGAACAAAATTTCTTTAAAAATTACCTTCCATAAGAACAAAGACAATATCACGCATGATTGTAATTGTTGTAATAAGAACAAGAATAGAGAAAAAAAAAGTACAGATTGGATCAGCTAATTTATATTGTGGCTAAAATCATTAAAAAAAACAATATATACATATGTATGTATACAATCAGTTTTTATTTATTTAGTTTTAAATATTACTTTAAATTTAATGAGTATAGCCGCACAAAGAACACCAACACTTTGAACAAAATCTCCAATAACATGTATTATAGCAGCTCGTACATTGATATTTTTTGTTGATTTCTTTGCTTTTATAATTTCTTCTCGATTTTGACCGGTTACAATATTAGCAACTAATGGGGAAGCATTAATAATCGTATCTGCATTTTCAAGAGTTTCCTCACGTGAATCGTCATGATTGTCTTCATGTGAATCGTCATGATGATTGTTTTCATGTGAATGACCATGGTTATCGCCATGTGAATGACCATGATGAGGCATTGATTTACCACATACATTAGCATGTAAAACAAGAAACATTCTATAAAAATAAATAAAAAAAAAATTTTTAATTTTTAAATGATAATCAATCTATAATTCATACCTACACGATATTGAATATAACACCACATGATGCAACAATAATCATCTCTAGTGGTTTTACTTCAAAAGTTTGATTGATACAACGTTCAACAGCCATATAAACAAGTACACCAGTAACTAACCAAATTGTTAATACACTGAGAAGCGCTCCAAGTACCTCTAAAAAAACACCAATGAATAACTTAATTGGATGAATATATATTATTTTTCACATATATATAGACCTGCTCGAATATAACCAAATGAAAGTCTTTGTGTTGGTCGTTTTGTTGCAAGATACATTGCCGTTAATGATATTAGAAAACTAGCGACATCAATTGCCATATGAGCTGCATCTGTTACAACAGCTGTTGAATTAGAAAGAACACCTCCTAGGTAAACATGAAAATACGCAATACTTTGTTTTTTTTTCTTATCTTAAACTTAAAAACATACCGATAATTTCAATAATCATGAAAACAATACAAATAATTAGTACAACAATAAGACGATTTCTTGCTCCATAATCAAATTTATTATCCGGCACATGACAATGAGTTGATTGTGACAACGATTGATTTGGTATAGTCACTTGTGTCATGACTTCTGTATTATCAGTATCATTTAATAACGGTGTTTTATCTACATCGTCGTCAGCCATTAATAAAATGCTATCATCCGATATATGGCCGTCATTGTGATCGTTTCTACTAAACTGTTCTCGACGATTTACACCTGTGTTTGATGTCATCCAAAAAAAAAACGAGCAAGACAGAACAAAAAAAAAAAAAGAAAAATCATTATTGGGCATGAGTCAGTAAAGAAAATCATTTATGTGAATGAGAAAAATGGCCTTGATTTAAAATATAATATTCAGTCAGGGAACTTTGAAGACTAGAAAAATGTGGTGCATTATATTCTTTCACCTTTTATTCTGTTCTCATCATTCTAAATATTATATTTAATACAATGATAGTGAAACAAACAAAAAAGAAATTCAGACAAAAACAAATGAGGGTCTACAAACACGTATCGATATTCAATAGAGGTCGCATAAAGTTTCAAAAAAGTCTTTAATATTTATGGAAAAAGATTTTTAAAAACTATTTAAATTTTTTTCTAATTTTCAAATTCAGATAAATCTATTTGATTAGTCTTTGTAGGTCTCACCTGTCTATCAATGATTGGTTTTGTATGATCCATTGAAATTGTTCAACGTTTGTCAGCGCTTTATAACATAATATCTAATTTAAAGTTGTCTTGATTATCATGGTATGAATCTAACATTCCACAATATACTTTTTTCTCATGTCTCGGTGTATTGATATGCTATATCATTTATTTATCCTTGCTGCCCTGTCAGATTTATTAATACATGGTAAAACACACAAAGATTTCTTTGATGTAAAGTAAAAATATAAAAAACTTTTCATAGGTGCTATTGGTGATGCAAGTGGAGAAGTCAATGATCATTTAGAAAAAGGAAAAATATTATTGGCTAGCGGACAATTAGCCGATGCTTTATCACAATTTCATTTAGCAATTGGTATGATAATATATAAAAAATTTTGTTTTAATAAATGTTTATAAGTTTATTTATTTCTTTTTCTGTTTTGTTAGATACTGATCCAAAAAATTATATTGCTTATTTTCGACGAGCTGCTGTTTATTTAGGTATGGGAAAATCTAAAGCAGCATTACCTGATTTGAATAAAGTTATTGAACTTAAACCAGATTTTCTTGCTGTGAGTTGCTGCAAAAGTTGTTTTTTTTATTTCATTAATTAAATTTTCTATTTTTGTTCAAGGCTCGTATGCAACGAGGAAATTTACTATTAAAACAAGGAGATTTTGATGAAGCAAAAGTTGATTTTGAAAGTATAGTATGTAGATAATTATTCATTATTTTTTTCTTCAATAATGTTTTTAAAAATTATTGTGCGTGTTTTAGTTAACATCAGATTCATCAAATAGTGAAGCACGTAATCAATTTGATTTAACTAAAAAAATGAGTCAAACAAGTCAAGAAGCTAAGAACGCGTACACAAAACACGATTATACGAAAACTACTGAATTACTTTCAACAATAATTGAGGTTTGATGAATCTCTTTTTCTTTTTCTTTTTAATATTCTTTTCTTTTCTTTTTTTCTTTTGAAGCATTGTCCATGGGCAATAACATTACGTGAATTACGTGCTGATAGTTATTTAAAATCAGGTGATTTACCAAAAGCAGTTAATGATCTTAAAGCTACAGCAAAATTAATACCTGATAATACTCAAGCGTATCTTAAAATAAGTCAATTACTTTATTCAATGGGTGATGCTGATGATAGTTTAACGTAAATAATTTCTTTTTTGTTTTTGATTTTCATCTAATATAGTTTTGTTTTTTTCTATTAGAAATATTCGTGAATGTCTTAAATTGGATGCTGATCATAAAGAATGTCATACACATTATGTTAAAGTTAAAAAATTAGCTAAACAACTTGAATCTATACGTGATGCTATAAGTCAATCGAATTGGAAAGAATGTCTTGATAAAGCAAATCAAATTCTTAAACTTTCATCAGATCCATCATCACATGCATTTATTTATCGTGCACATTCATCAATATGTACATGTATGTCAAAAGGAAAATCTCCAGCTAAAGATACAATTAAAAAATGTACAGAAGTTTTAGATACATATCATGTATCTGATGTTGAACTTTTAATAAGTCGTGCTGAAGCATATATATTAAATGAAGAATATGAATTAGCATTAGCTGATTATCAACGTGCACATGAAACAGAAGATTCAAATCGTGTTAACGATGGAATAAAACGTACACAAAAATTAATAAAACAATCAAAAAAACGTGATTATTATAAAATATTAAATGTACGAAGATCAGCAAATAAAGCTGAAATTTTAAAAGCTTATAGAAAACTTGCTGTTAAATGGCATCCAGATAAATATGAAGGTGAAGATAAGAAAAAAGCTGAAAGAATGTTTATTGATATAGCTGCAGCAAAAGAAGTTTTAACTGATCCAGGTTTGTATTTTTTTTATGGAATAATTAAAACTTATTTTTATTTATTTATGTATATAGAAAAACGTGCTAAATTTGATGCTGGTGATGATCCATTAGATGCCGAAGAGCAAGCTCAACATCATAATCCATTTCATGGTTTTAATCCTTTCGGTGCTGGCAATGGACAAGGATTTACATTTCGATTTCATTTTAATTGATTGTGTATGTGTTTTCGTGTATAGTAGTTGCCTGTTTGTTTTTATTCTCATCTTCTCTATTTTGTTTTCTTTTCTCTTTTTACAAAATTCAAAAAAAAAAAAACTTAGGCTTCTGTTTGTTGCTGCTATTGTTATTATTATTAACATCGACAATATTTTCTACTTTGTTGATCCCAAAAAGAAAAATAAATAAAAAAGGGAAACATTCAAATTAAAGTAACGTTTATTTTTTCGTTCTTTTATTTCAACACAGGGTTACGATAATGACGAACGACACAATACACATACATGAGATGCACGTTTCTTTTTTTTCTTGTTTCAATAAAATAAATATCTACACATATATATGGAACGACAGTATTACGAAAAAAATATATATATATATAATGGAAATAAATAAAATGATCGTTAAGTAAGTGAACGTAGAATGTTAATGGTAGGTTAATTTTGTCAATAATCAATCAGACATATTCGATCCATTTGACTATAAAAATAAATAAATAAATTGTAAATTATTTTTAATCATTAAAATACAAATAATTCTACCTGAAGTATTGAAACAATAAGACCGAATAAACCTATTGCACTAGCAAATATTTCAATAATAAGAATTCGAACAAATAATGATGAATTCTGTGCATCAGCTAATGCTGCACCTGATCCAACAAGACCAACACATACACCACAAAATAAATTGCAGAAACCAACACTTAAACCAGCGCCAAATAATTTATAACCAGCACGATATTTAAGTGCTAAATCATCCAATTGAGTTGTTGAAAAACTCTAGAAATATAATCATTATATAATCTATTAGAAAAAAAGTTCTTTAGTTTTTATTTACAGAAATTGAACCGGATATAACAATACCCATAATAAGTCCATAAATAGCAACAGCTTCACACATTATAATTGAAATAAGATTTTTTGTTCGAATACGTGGTGCTTTAACACCACCACCTAATATACTGACACCAGTTGCAAAAATACCTCTAGAAGAAAAATATTAGATATATTATTTTTAATTTACAAAAAAAAAATTTATATTTAATTACAAAGCAGCGCCGAGAACAGATAGTGATACGGCTAATGCAATACCAACTAATGCCCATTGATAAGGTGAAATTGATAAAAGAAACCAACCAATATCAAAGCGAAAACCATAGTTAGTTAACATATAAGTTAAACCTATGAAGATAAAAAAGAACCATATGTTTTGTTTTGGAAAAGATTAACTGAACACATACCAACATAGATAGATAAGCCAACGGTTGCACTTAATGCACCTATACTTAAATAAGATGAACTCATTTTATTTGTCTAAAGCAAAACTAGAAAACAAAATAATGATGTATAATGATGTTTTGAATAAATGACAGTAAAATAGTAGAGCGATTTTATCAGTAGAAAAATATCTAACTTTATAGTTTTTATGATGGCGAACTCACTCAATTAACTGATGGTGCTGATATATGTGGTATTTGTCAATGTATAATAACCAATGAGAAGCGATATAATCAGAGAGGTCGTACTTATACTAGGACAAAAAATGTATTCTTTTTTTGTAAAAATTCTTCGCTTTGCAAAAACAAGTAAAATAAAGTCTTATGAAATATATCAAAATTTGAAAATACATTCTTATCTATGAGTAGCTAATATAGAACTGAGAAGGAATAACAACGGATCTTGAACATAGTTAAGAAAAAAAATCTGCTTATTTGAAGTTCAATTATAGTTTTTTAAGCTCGAATTTTTATTCGATATATGCAATAAAATTCTCTGATCGATACCATTCAGTAAATTTTTAATAAAATCAATAGCCACTATAAAATAAAAAGAAATTAGATGAAGTTTTACTCTGTAAAAATTAATCATTTTCGATATAGAATGATTATATTTTTTGCGAGCATCGAGATTCTTTTTATAATGATAAAATGCCTGCATAAAAATAATTATCGAGTACGACAAAATAATTGCAACATTAGGTATTTTTCAAATATCTCACCATAGATAAATCATATAATCTTGATTTTATTTAAATGTGTCCCATCAAATTCTCTACAAAAGCGTTAGTAAAAAAATCCCCGGGGATTGATATGATAGTTTTATTATAAGGCTAAAGCTGAAGTACTGTGTGATGATGAAATGTGTCATTATTCTAAGAGGAACAGAAATGAAAATAATATGAAAATAAAGTTTTCGTTTTATGTCAAAGAATATTCTTCATGATATTATTATTTTATTTTCCACAAGAAAAAAGAATTGAAGTAAAGTGATATAAAAATCATGAATGTTTATGGAAAATATGATCGCTATTAAGCTGTTCAATTACACAAACGTTTCAAAAAAAAGAACTAAACACGTTGCCAACATAACTTACATTAATTTTTTGGCACGCTTCTTTTATTTCTTTCTTCAGATCTTTTCGAATTTTGACCGGCAGTGGAGCGAGAATTTTGGACTAGAAGAGCTTAGCTATTTTTGGACGAGTTTTTGAAAGATGTATTTTTTCTGATACAAAAAATGCATTAGTCTTTGTAACGAAACATTTGAACACATATATCTTATTTTGTGGAACTCATATGTTTGTGAAAAAAAGAAAATACAGTAAATATAAGTTTCAATCAGGTTTTAGAGGTTATGCTGATTGAAACTTATATTTACTAGGATGCTACATTATTACCACTAGTAATCAAGTAATAAATTTGAAAAGTATCAAAAGTATTAAGTAATAAATGTATATTAGACGCTAGTTTCTATTGACATTGTACTCTACGGCAACGTGAGAGGCTTTAAATTAAAAATACAAATATCATTGAAAGTACATTTTGGTAACATAAATCAATGATTATTTAGATATCGAAATTTATCAACGTTAAATTAAGAGAATTATTTTCTTCATCAATTTAACAGTTGAACAATTGAAAAGAGAAAAAAAGACTAGTACATCAACAAGACTGGTGACGAATGAAAACATTCAAGAAGAGAAGATAATAATACATAATGGTATATTGCGAGATAATCTAAATAATAGTCCTTTTGAAGGTGATAATCACAAGCAAAATAATAGTTGTGATAATTGAATTACAATTTAATGAATAATCAATAGATTTGTCTAATTTTTGTTGATAGATATTTGTTATTTTTCTTTTAATTAATAAACGATGCAAAAGTTTTTGGAAGAATGCCGAAGTATATTTCTCAACAATGTAACATCGGATTGATTTCGACATTTTTTATTTGAAAGATCAAAGTTTGGAAAGTATTTACATAAAACGAAACGATTTTTGAGAACGCTTATTTTTTTAATATCGTTCTCGTTCTTTACTCCCATGAAAAACGGGTCGAGAAATATGGAAAAAAATCGTTCTCACAGGACATTAGTTAATTATCATGCTGCTTATACTCTCAATACCATGCAGTTCAACTGCTGTCGAAAGAGAGTTTTCGGCAATAGATGAAGTTGTCAACCACAGAAGGTGTAATTTTTGACCGAACAACTGTCAATAATGTTTTATTTATTCGTAAGATAGAGAATAACAAAGAAAATCCGGTTTAAACGAGCTTTTTCAAAGTGTTTTTGTTGAGAAAAGCCCTTTTTTTTGTTTTTTTACAAACGCCTTGGAACGGTATCGTATAAACGACGCTTTGGATCGGAAAAAACGCGTCGAAAAAACCAGCGATGCATTTAAAACGCAAGAGTAGCGTTTTTTCTACAAAATTGTGCGTTGAAACGCATGTTTTCTATCAAAATTTTTCCTGAATGTGCTGTGTTCTTGTATTGTTGTGTCTATTTTTTGTAATATGTAATCAAATAAATCAAATGAGCAAAAGATACAAATATCTTGCAAGGATGTGACGAGGGAACGAAAGAAAAATTAAGGTTAAGGCGAGGCAGGAACAAAATATTCTCTCGTTTCAGCCTCAACCCGATATTTTCTATAGTAAAAAATTGTCATAGTCTGAATCAATTTGTTTGATTGACGAACTTTTAAAACGACATTTATAATTTAAATAAACTATGTTAAAATGAATAGATACGTTTTGGAAAAAAAAATAATCTTATATTTTAAGGAAATAAAGGCACAAAAAAATAGTTAGTGGCAAAGCACCGGCAAATTCAAGTCAATAAGGTCACGTTTTAGATAGTACTAAATGATTGCAAAGATTGTGATTGAGTTTGAACATTTAATAGACGTTCATGTTCACGTTCATGAATATCTAATAAGGCTTTATTTTCACGCATTTGTTGACGTTGTCGTGTTAAACGTAAATAATTATCTTCTCGTCGTGTTTGTAACTAAAAACAAAAGCAAACATAAACAAACAAATGATGAATAGATAAGATTTATTTGAAAATTAATTAATAAATATACTTTATATAATTTTGCTTTTTCTTTAGCTAAATGTCGTTCTAATTCTTTTTCCTCTTGTTCCGATCGGGCAATAGCATTTTGAATTTTTTTAGCATCTTCTCGTTTTTTTCGTATTAAATCATCTTTTAATCGTTGTACTTCTTGTTCCTTTTTACGTCGTTGAAATTCAGCTTCTTTAACTGATTTACGTAATTCATATTCAACGTCTTCACTCTTATTCATTGTATTCTATAAAAACAATAATGAATATATACGAATATTAAATCGAATCGTTTACTTCTAAATGTCGTAAGCGATCTTCATGTTGTTTAGTTTCAAGTTCAACAGGACGTGTTTTAGCTTTAGTTGTTGCTTCACTTTCATGTTTCTCAGTTTTATCACGCATATATTGATTCATTAATTGTGAACGACGATTCTCAATATCCTAAAATATGAGAAAAAACAATTTATGTTCTTTGCTTTTTTTTTGTTCTGATAAAAAAATAAACATACGGTCACTTTAGACATTAATTGAGTAGCACGTCGATCTGGTTCATTAATAGCTGTACTTGCATTTAATTGTCGTTGTTTAGCATAAATTGTTTCTAATCGACTCTTTGTATCACCAATTCGACGAAGAGCTCAAAAATATATCATGAAGAAATCGAATTATTTTAGGAAGTTTTTTTTTGTTTTAATATACCGTCACGTTGTTTAAGATCGAGCATTGAACGATGAAGTGTTACATCACCTGAAAGACGACGTCTTTCTTGATCATAGTTTTTACCATAAACCTTTGTTTGACTACAAAAAAAACAGAATTTAAGAATGAATATTCTAAACCTTTCTTGTCAATTATAAGGATATAGTGTTTGGATAAAAGAGATAATAACAGGTTATCAAATAAGTTAATTTAACAAAATGTTCGTTCATTTTTCAGTCTCTTAAAGAAGCCTATAGGTATTTGAAAACATAGAATGATAAATAGAATTTTGTATTCGAGCCAAATATGACTTCAAACTGTTTGAAGAACTTCTGGTTTAAGAGTTATAAACTGACTTTTTTTGAGGTCCGTTAATTGAATTTGGACGAGTTTCAATGCGCCAAAATTTACCCAAAAAAGAAGTGAAAATCCTTTCAAATATAGTGAATAAAAGAACAAAAACTTCTCTTTAAAATCGTAAACGAATGATTAGTTTGCTGCAAGTCATTTACCAGCAGTGAGTATTTTAGTAAGGTATGTCGTAGCAATTTAGGCAAATTTTGTCGATTATTATAGGCAATAGACTTGCAAAGCGAGCTCGGCCATTCCGGAATGATTCTTATACCATTCTGTCGAGGACAATCTCACCTTTAATTCTATGCAAAAAATATTGGTAAAATAACATATGCAGTAACGGAGACTATTGGTCAATTTTCTTTGTCTCAACTTAACTTTCACACTTCTAAAAGGATTGTTGTATATCTCTTAAACCCGAAGTCCTACAAAAATTTTAAAGTCATATGCGAAAACAATACAGAATTATGATTCCAACTCAATTTTCTCAAATTTCTGTAGTCTCCTTTATGAGGCTAAAAAATGAATGTACATTTTGTCAAATTACTTTTCGGTAATCTCTTATTATTCTTCGCCAAATTTTCCTTCTTCATTGTACGATATTAATACTACATTAAAATAATAATAGTATGAGATTCTTAAGGTATATTGAGTAAACAGAAACCATTATAAGTTTAGTGTAGTGAAATGAATATTCTATATCAACAATATGATGCCTTATCAGAAAAAAAAACGAAAAAGAAGATGATTGTTTCATAATAAAGATGTTCAATTTCGATCCATATTCTTCTTCTTAATTTCTGGTCACGATAAAAAAAGTATCACTGTTCAAGATATTTCATTCTTTTTTTCTCTAAACAAGCTATGGTATCCATTACATGTAGATTTGAAAGTTAGAT